GTCCCGCCACGCCCCCGGGCTCTCCTTGTCTCCACCCGACTCAGAGCCAGGCAGCCTCCTGTGCCTGCTCACCAGGCCTCACCTTCCATCCCGTCAAAGGGCAGCCACAGAGGGCTGTTCCTGGCCTTGTCCACACTGACGATGCGGACCAGCTTCTGGGGGCCCCCAGAACACTGTTAAAGGGGGAAAAGGGGAGAGATTGTTGAAGCCATCGACGGTGCCCTGCCCTGGCACCCCTGCCCTGGCACTCTGCCCTGAAGGTGAATCCAGTGTGGCTCCCGGCTGTGCCCGCGGCAGGCCAGGATGCCCTGGACCCACTGGGGTGACGGGTGGGGGCGTCCACAGCAAGGGAGGGCTGCAGAAGGCAGGAGAAGGGCAGGTCCACGCCAGCTGCCATGGTCCGGGAGGTCGTCCTGGCTGCTGCTCAGGGCCAGGGCAGGACGATGAATGCTGCCCACAGCGTGCCTCTTTGACACCAGTGAAGGCACCTGAGAAGCTGCCCTCTCTTCCCAGCTGAGTGCTGCAGCCACCCCTTGAGGGCGCTACCTGTCCCACAGCACGGCCACAGCACAGTGGGAGGGCCGCCAGGGCTGGGAGCCTCTGCTGTGGGGGCCGCGTCTCTGAACTCACCGAATCCCCCTCGGCCTCCCCCGGCCGCACAGCCTCACACCTCCTGGTCACCCAGAGCCCACCGCCTCGGCCCAGAGCCCTCTGCCTGTCATTTCTTCCCAACATGTATCATTCTTCATCCAAACGAGGTTAAGTTTTCTGCCTCTGCCATTGCCTCGGGCCTCCCCGTCGTGAGGGTGCACGGGAAATTACAGGTGTGCGTGCTTCCCTCCTCTGACCCGCTTGTGCTCACTGGGCTCCGGGATGAGGTGAAGACCCGGTGAGCACTCAGCGGGCAGATGGCATCTGCACCCGCCCCTGCTCCCCACCTGAGTCCTGGTGTCTGCGGGCAGCGGAGCCCGAGCTCAGAGGAAGCGGGGCAGGGAACTGAGTGTGAGGAGGACGGGATGGGATGGGATAGCTCTGAACACGTGCAAGGACCCGCGGACTGGGTGGTTTGCAGGGACCATGAGGGCCAGGTCACCCCTTGGGTTAGCAGCCCACACTCTCCACCCAGCCTCGGACTAGCACCCCGGCCAAACCCCCGCGGGCCAGACCCCTCCCCAGAGCCCACCTTGCGGCTGGCAGTGCACGGCTGAGTCAGGATCTGGATGAGGTCGATGAGCCGCTGCTGAGCCCTACACAGGGAGAGGCCCCGGCCAGCCGCTGTCAGAGCCGGCCCCCGCCACCTGGTGTCTGCGGGCAGCGGAGCCCGAGCTCAGAGGAAGCGGGGCAGGGAACTGAGTGTGAGGAGGACGGGATGGGATGGGATAGCTCTGAACACGTGCAAGGACCCGCGGACTGGGTGGTTTGCAGGGACCATGAGGGCCAGGTCACCCCTTGGGTTAGCAGCCCACACTCTCCACCCAGCCTCGGACTAGCACCCCGGCCAAACCCCCGCGGGCCAGACCCCTCCCCAGAGCCCACCTTGCGGCTGGCAGTGCACGGCTGAGTCAGGATCTGGATGAGGTCGATGAGCCGCTGCTGAGCCCTACACAGGGAGAGGCCCCGGCCAGCCGCTGTCAGAGCTGCCTCCCGCCACACACCCTTTTGTTCCAGGCTGGGCACTCTGCCCCGGCAGCCCAAGCCCCACCGTTCCCGCCCGGAGGTCTGGCTGTTCTGGGGCGGGACCCAGGGGACCTCAACGAGCAGAAGAACTGAAGGCCCGTCTGTGGGGCTCGGTCCCTAGCCTGGCACCCTGAGAGCAAGCATGTGAAACGCTTGGCCGGGTCTGCTCTAAGGGGGCAAGGATGGCACCCTGCAGCCCACGCTGGCCCTGTATGTGAGCCATAGGGTCCCTGGGGTTGATCTGGAGGGGGTTGCCAACAGGGGAGGGGCAGTGTCGCTTGCCACAGAGCTGCCAGGACCAAGAGGTTTTCCAAGACATGGGACTCTAGAGCTAGAACCAAGGCAGTCAGAAGCCAGGACAGTCGGTCACCCTGACCCTGGGGACATGCAAACGTGCGGGGACATTCTCTCGTGGTTGCAGCTGGGTGGGGCAGAAGTAGAGGCAGGGATGCCACTCAACAGCTCACGGTGCGCAGGATGGCCACCCCAGTGGTGACAGGACCAAGCCAGAAAGCCTGAGCTAGGATGCCCTGCCAAGGACCGAAGGCCACCCACTGTCAAGCGAGAGCACCGGTCACAAAGCCCCACGCACGCTGGTGCCTCCTCCAGGGCAGCGAGCCCTGCTGTGGGCGCGGGGAGCTAGGCCTGGCCCGGCAGATGCTATCCTAGGGCCCGGGGAGGCTCAGCCCTCACTGCTCACTGTGCGTAGGTGGGGATGGTGCCGTGCTGCGAGTCCTTCATGGTGTAGGGGCTCACACGAGAGGCGTGCCAGCAGCAGCGGCCCTGGAACATGGTGTCGGTGACGTGCAGGATGTCGTTGCAAAACACCGGCAGCTCCCCCTCTGCCCTGCCCTCCACGGCCAGGTTGGCCCGGATGTAGAATGAGTCCCCGGAGGTAGCTACGTTGGCCTCCAGGTCCTGGACCAGCTTCTTATAACCTGGTAAGAGAGGACGACAGATGAGCCTGGGGCCATGAGACACCCAAGGAAGGTTCTAGAATGCAAAAGGAGCAAACAAAAGACCCTCCTCCTACACTGGAGTCAGGAGACAGGTTTCCAGCTGCCTTGGGGCCCTGGGGACGTGGGGCAAAGCCTGGTTGAGCTGCACCTGTTCCAGTGAGCCTAGCGTCTGGGCCTGCAGCATGGCTGTGCCTATGGTCTCAGAGACGCGATTAGGCAGCTGAGCAGGCGGGGCAGGGGGCTGTACCCTCCATGTTGACCTTCACAGACAGGCAGCAGAAGCCGTTCACCCTCTGCAGAAGCCCCACGGCGCGCTCCAGGCTTGTGTCCTCGAGGACAGCCTTGAACAAGGGCTCGGTCGCTTCGCAGTCCACCTGAGGGCAAATGGTGAGTGAGGGTTGGCTCTTCCCACAGGACTCAGGGTTCAGGGATGTGGGGAGGGGTTCAGGGGCAGCACAAGCTACAGGGGGACCCACTAGTCTTCCCAAAGGCGCAGCAGGGGTGGCCCGTCATGGCCGAGTCAGGACAGCAGACCATGCCAGTGACACGTTGCCAGGCCGAGAGCCGAGCTCTAGCCCTTCCCCACAATGCCTACAGCTGAGGATGGAGTCTGCCGTGGCAGATTCTAGAGCATTCTAGAACATTCTAGAGCATTCTGGGTTAGAGTTTCTCAGCCTTGAGGTCATTAGTGTTTGGGGCTGGACCTTTCTGTATCATGGGGCTTATCCTCCCAGGGTGCTTAGGATGGTGAACAGCATTCCCGTCCTCACTCCACCCCAGGCCCTCCTCATGGTGAGTCAAGCCCTGCTGGCCACTCGCTCCCATGTTTCAAGTTTAGGAACAACGAGAAAGAATTAAGATCTGTCTTCACGCCCTTAGAACTCGGGTACCAGCTCCTAAACACGTGCAGGAACTCGCTCTAACTGCCGGGGCAGGTGGTGGCTGGGAATGTGAACAGGACTGCCAGGAAGACAGCCAGGGCTCGGGGTTGTGCAAGCAAACCCAGGATGACACTTGTACTGGGCTGGATGCGCAGGCTCAAGGCCTAGGAGGCCCCACCTCGTGTGTGGACGGCCAGTTCTGAGAGAAGCCAGAGGGGCTCACGCACACCCTTCCCAGGGACTCTGCACTGGCCACGGGCCCTGCGTCCCCATCTAGTCCCCTCCTGGGGGCCACCGACTTGCCTCAGGGATAAGTGGGACCACTTTTTGGTGCTTTGAAAGAGCTGGAAGTTTGGCGCCAGCAGGAGGCATGGTGGTTAGGGCACTGGGCTCCCTGGCCGACTGCAGTTTGAGTTCTGGACCTGGCGGCTTCTCACTTTTCCTCTCTCTCTCTCTCTCTCTCTGGTCAAAAATCAAAACAAATCAATAATTCTTAAAAATAAAAGCTGGGACCAGCAGATGGTGTAAGGGCTATGTCGCTGGACTCCCATGTAGTCGACCGTGGTTCGAGTCCCAGACCCAGTGGCTTAAACTCACGCCGAGCGTGTGTACGTGCGTGTCCAAGATCCCAAGAGGAGAATGGAGGAGAAGGGATGGTCATCCCCCCTGGGGGTGATTTCTCCCGCTTTCTGTCTGTCTCTCTCTGTCTTTCTGGTGAACACACACACCCCTTAGCAAGAATCTCTCTTAAAATAATAATAATAAAAAAAAGAGCTAGAGGGACCAGCCTATGCCATGATGGTTACGTTGCTGGACGCTCATGTAGTTGACCATGGTTCGAGTCCCAGACTTGGTAGCTTAAAACTCATGCTGAGTTCATGTGCATGTGTGTCCAAAATCCTGAGAGGAGAATGGAGGAGAAGGGACTGTGGTGTGGCCATTTCCCCTGTGGGGCGATTTCTTGCATTCTGTCTTTCCATCTCTCCAGTGAGTGCACACACCCTATAGTAAAAATCTCTCATAAAAAAAAAAAAGCTAGAAGTTTAATAATTCCACTCTTGGCCATTTTCAAGTCACCCTCCCTGCCTACATCCTTGCTGAATAATAATAGCTGGACCAGCCCTGGTGGCTCAGTGCTAGGATAAGCCCATGAGCTGAAGCCAGGTGGGCAGGTCCTGGGTTTGCATCCCACGCCCGGCACGCCCACGATTCTGGCCGGCTGAGGGTGGATCGCTGTGTGAAGACCCTGTCGGGCGTGCCTGCCTCTTTCAAAGAAGAAACCAATAAACTGAGAAAATAAACCAATAAACTGAGAAAATAACTAAGTTAGGGTGTGGTCGTGCACATCCGTGTTCTCCGCAGTAGCTAAGTTAGGGTGTGGTCGTGCACATCCGTGTTCTCCGCAGTAGCTAAGTTAGGGTGTGGGCGTGGGCGTCTGTGTTCTCCGCAGTAGCTAAGTTAGGGTGTGGTCGTGCACATCTGTGTTCTCCGCAGTAGCTAAGTTAGGGTGTGGTCGTGCACATCTGTGTTCTCCGCAGTAGCTAAGTTAGGGTGTGGTCGTGCACATCTGTGTTCTCCGCAGTAGCTAAGTTAGGGTGTGGTCGTGCACATCCATGTTCTCCACAGTAGCTAAGTTAGGGTGTGTGGTCGTGCACATCCGTGTTCTCCACAGTAGCTAAGTTAGGGTGTGGTTGTGCACATCCGTGTTCTCCACAGTAGCTAAGTCTGGGTGCGCGGTCATGCACATCCGTGTTCTCCGCAGTAGCTAAGTCGGGGTACGTGGTCGTGCACATCCATGTTCTCCACAGTAACTAAGTCGGGGTGCGCAGTCGTGCACATCCGTGTTCTCCGTAGTAGCTACGTTAGGGTGTGTGGTCGTGCACATCCGTGTTCCCCACAGTAGCTAAGTTAGGGTGTGGTCGTGCACATCCATGTTCTCCACAGTAACTAAGTCGGGGTGCGCAGTCGTGCACATCCGTGTTCCCCACAGTAGCTAAGTTAGGGTGTGGTCGTGCACATCCATGTTCTCCACAGTAACTAAGTCGGGGTGCGCAGTCGTGCACATCCGTGTTCCCCACAGTAGCTAAGTTAGGGTGTGGTCGTGCACATCCATGTTCTCCACAGTAACTAAGTCGGGGTGCGCAGTCGTGCACATCCGTGTTCCCCACAGTAGCTAAGTTAGGGTGTGGTCGTGCACATCCATGTTCTCCACAGTAACTAAGTCGGGGTGCGCAGTCGTGCACATCCGTGTTCCCCACAGTAGCTAAGTTAGGGTGTGGTCGTGCACATCCATGTTCTCCACAGTAACTAAGTCGGGGTGCGCAGTCGTGCACATCCGTGTTCCCCACAGTAGCTAAGTTAGGGTGTGGTCGTGCACATCCATGTTCTCCACAGTAACTAAGTCGGGGTGCGCAGTCGTGCACATCCGTGTTCCCCACAGTAGCTAAGTTAGGGTGTGGTCGTGCACATCCATGTTCTCCACAGTAACTAAGTCGGGGTGCGCAGTCGTGCACATCCGTGTTCCCCACAGTAGCTAAGTTAGGGTGTGGTCGTGCACATCCATGTTCTCCACAGTAACTAAGTCGGGGTGCGCAGTCGTGCACATCCGTGTTCCCCACAGTAGCTAAGTTAGGGTGTGGTCGTGCACATCCATGTTCTCCACAGTAACTAAGTCGGGGTGCGCAGTCGTGCACATCCGTGTTCCCCACAGTAGCTAAGTTAGGGTGTGGTCGTGCACATCCATGTTCTCCACAGTAACTAAGTCGGGGTGCGCAGTCGTGCACATCCGTGTTCCCCACAGTAGCTAAGTTAGGGTGTGGTCGTGCACATCCATGTTCTCCACAGTAACTAAGTCGGGGTGCGCAGTCGTGCACATCCGTGTTCCCCACAGTAGCTAAGTTAGGGTGTGGTCGTGCACATCCATGTTCTCCACAGTAACTAAGTCGGGGTGCGCAGTCGTGCACATCCGTGTTCCCCACAGTAGCTAAGTTAGGGTGTGGTCGTGCACATCCATGTTCTCCACAGTAACTAAGTCGGGGTGCGCAGTCGTGCACATCCGTGTTCCCCACAGTAGCTAAGTTAGGGTGTGGTCGTGCACATCCATGTTCTCCACAGTAACTAAGTCGGGGTGCGCAGTCGTGCACATCCGTGTTCCCCACAGTAGCTAAGTTAGGGTGTGGTCGTGCACATCCATGTTCTCCACAGTAACTAAGTCGGGGTGCGCAGTCGTGCACATCCGTGTTCCCCACAGTAGCTAAGTTAGGGTGTGGTCGTGCACATCCATGTTCTCCACAGTAACTAAGTCGGGGTGCGCAGTCGTGCACATCCGTGTTCCCCACAGTAGCTAAGTTAGGGTGTGGTCGTGCACATCCATGTTCTCCACAGTAACTAAGTCGGGGTGCGCAGTCGTGCACATCCGTGTTCCCCACAGTAGCTAAGTTAGGGTGTGGTCGTGCACATCCATGTTCTCCACAGTAACTAAGTCGGGGTGCGCAGTCGTGCACATCCGTGTTCCCCACAGTAGCTAAGTTAGGGTGTGGTCGTGCACATCCATGTTCTCCACAGTAACTAAGTCGGGGTGCGCAGTCGTGCACATCCGTGTTCCCCACAGTAGCTAAGTTAGGGTGTGGTCGTGCACATCCATGTTCTCCACAGTAACTAAGTCGGGGTGCGCAGTCGTGCACATCCGTGTTCCCCACAGTAGCTAAGTTAGGGTGTGGTCGTGCACATCCATGTTCTCCACAGTAACTAAGTCGGGGTGCGCAGTCGTGCACATCCGTGTTCCCCACAGTAGCTAAGTTAGGGTGTGGTCGTGCACATCCATGTTCTCCACAGTAACTAAGTCGGGGTGCGCAGTCGTGCACATCCGTGTTCCCCACAGTAGCTAAGTTAGGGTGTGGTCGTGCACATCCATGTTCTCCACAGTAACTAAGTCGGGGTGCGCAGTCGTGCACATCCGTGTTCCCCACAGTAGCTAAGTTAGGGTGTGGTCGTGCACATCCATGTTCTCCACAGTAACTAAGTCGGGGTGCGCAGTCGTGCACATCCGTGTTCCCCACAGTAGCTAAGTTAGGGTGTGGTCGTGCACATCCATGTTCTCCACAGTAACTAAGTCGGGGTGCGCAGTCGTGCACATCCGTGTTCCCCACAGTAGCTAAGTTAGGGTGTGGTCGTGCACATCCGTGTTCTCCGCAGTAAGTTAGGGTGTGGTTGCGCACACCTGTGTTCTCCAGAGTAAGTTAGGGTGTGCGGTCATACACATCTGTGTTTTCTGCAGTTCTGAGTATTTCAAAGCTAAAAACTGGCTTGAGGGCCCAGCGTGGATGGCCGTGGGCTGCCCTGACAGAAGAGCCTGACTTTAAACACAAGGTTAGAAAGTGCCCTCGTTGCTGGTTAACGTGGTGACCTCGGTGTCATGCGCACCTGGCCCCCGCCCACACAGTGACACACACTGCCGCGGCGGGGCCCCGTCAGAGCTGCTGTATGCAGCAGCTGTCTCAGTGGGGTCATTTACCCCACGGTCATACCGGCTCCAAGCCCCCGGAGCCCCAGAGCCAGGCTGGCCCCGGTGCCAGGCTCCCCCTGCGTGGTTCTCGCCTATAAATGAGCATGTACTTGCCTAAGCTGGGATACACATGTGACCAAGGTAGCTGAGTCCACATAGCAGATCTGAGGCTGCCTGGTCCCCCCAAGCACTACTAACCCCGTGAGGGGCTGCAGGGGCCGCCTCACCATCATGATCTGGGTGCCTGGGCGCAAGGCCATCCCGTCTGCTGCCGAGCCTGGGGTGACTCGGTGAATGAAGATGCCCGTGAGGTTCCCGCCGATGACACTTATCTGCTCCAGCAATGTGTCCCCCTGGAACGCCAGCACGGTGACCTGGCTCAGGATCCTGCGGGCTGGTCTCCGCCGCACGGGGACACTACAGTGGGAGGGAGGTGAGGAGGGAGGCGCTGCCGAGGCAGGGCCCTCTAGGAACCTCCCCACCCACCCTGAGGCCCCAGCATTCTGGAATTCTCCATCCCACTGCACCCTCCCATGACCCATCAAAGGCCACTGCCTCCCTAAGGCGGGGAACAGTCACTACAGCTTTGCCACCTCCGGGGCCCAGCTCCCCAGTCGGCCCCGCAGGGTCCCCACCTACCGCTCACCTTTCGGAGAGGTCGGAGAGGTCGAGGCTTCCGGAGAACGGTGGCTGCGGGCTGTCCGACTGGGGCAGGTCTAGGAGGAAGTGAGAGCCTCCCTGCTGAGCTAGGGCACGCCTGGGGCTTCCTGGCCCTTAGCCCCTCCCTGGCCTCAGCCCCTGCCCATCCCATCTGGCTGAGGCTGAGCACTCTCTTCCTGCTCCTGTTTAGGACTTGGATTTCTTCTTCCTTGAAATCAGGAGACCATCGAGGAGTTGCACCTGGGAGGGTCTGGCCACCTAGCGCCTTCATTTGAAAAAATAAGGAGTTCCACCCCGTCCGGGCTTCTGGAGTAACCGGGGCTCTCATCTCTCCGGGTCCTTGGCTCCTGCCTGGGCCTGCATTTCTGTGTGGCGACAGCCATGGCTTACCCCAGGCTGCCCTGCGGACCGTGGCAGGGCCAGCCCGCCACCCCCGGCG